AACTTCACCGCCTAGGCTTCAGGTATCAATATTTTATCTCTTCGATTGAGATATTTGCAGATTTTGGGGATTCATTCGGAATGCTATAAAATTGGAAAAAATATTTATAAAAATCTAACATAAAATCATCTTTTTTCAGTGCTATTGGTTCGCGAAATTATCTTATAAACTTGCACGAATCAAACATTCAAAAATTAATATCAATCAATTCTAATTATAAAATATGTTTATCATTTTGTGTTATATATTTATTTAGACGCAACGTTCCAGCAGTATTCGTTAGTGTGTAACATGATTCACCACTTGCTCAACTAATGTCTATTATTTATTTTTAGAGCCCTTCAGGATTGAAAAACGTAGGTTTAGTAACCAGTGTTAACTCCCTAAGAAGTGTGGCGAACGACTATGGTGGAGAACCACCTGGCACCTTCACGCAAATGGAGACTTGTAGACAGGTATGTGTTGGACTTAGAAATAAAAACTATATAGACAATTGATAGTAGAACTTAAGGTAATACAAGGTAAGTTTCAAAAAAAACAAATTTAGACAAATTATCGAAACTTTGTTGAATTAGATAAATTATAATTAAACCACAATATCCTAAATGTCCTCAAATTAATGAGAAGTCTCATAATGATCTTGACATGGCACTTATTTATTTGTAATATTTTTATAAGTGATGGAGTTAAAAAGTTCAAAACATGCTTCATAAATTGAGGTACTACCAAATGCTATGTCAAAGCAGCAAATCGCTTCTTTGGCTGTTCGTATCTCAATACACTTATAAGACGGGGTACCACTGTATTTGGGTAAATTGGAAAAAAATAAGAAGCAAGTTTTTTGTATACATTTATATAAATGGGCTCGCCCGGGGGTTAAGAGCGATGGGACTTCTTGATTCAGAAGTCCCTGGTTCTATACCCACTTCGAGCAGCCTATTTTCCGGTAGCAGTGACAACGATTTTCACTTGGAAATATAGATAGGCAATATGTTTCCAAGTGTAAAAAGCCCTCAGTCGGCATTGCTGCTACAATAAAAAGTCAGTTCTATTAGATGAATTCTAATAATAAAATCATCAAATATGGATGGATTAACCATTGGGTTACCATCTAAAAATACGAAGTAAGGAGAAGTTTCAGCCCAACAGCTTATAGGACGTAAGGTTCTGATTGTTGTTAAGATATGAGAAAAATAAATAAATCTGATCTAACGCCAGTATGCATATAACAAAAGATCTCTATTCACTCGACACGACGACTAATCACAATCGGCCCGTATTGAAATGATTTCATCGAGAGCGAATGACGAACAGTTCGGGCGTAACACAACTTCCGTTGCATTTTTACAAATCACTAAATGAAAAAATAAGAAGTTTTTTGTATATATTTATATAAATCTGATCTAACTTTAACATTATAATATTAGGTAACGTCCCCATTGGTGTCTCCAGTGTCCAGCCTGTCGGTGTATCCTTCAGGACGACCTTTCAGAGAAGTGGTGACAGTGCGAACACCTTTGATGGGAACGCAGCAAGAAAGTTGTGTTTAAAAATATTCAAATATTAAATTATGCAAAATAATAAACTATCAAAAACCATAAGCAATATCGCGTAAAAAGATCAAAAATAACTTACTAATGCTCTGTTAATCATTATACTTAATCATTTTTTTTAATTTCTCATGACTCTGATTTTTTTGGTATTATTGCGGTTTATGACTCGTATCTGAGCATACTCAATTTCAATTTGATTTTCTGCAATAATTTTCTAGTTTAATTATCTAGCATTGCTGGCATTATGTGATGACTTTTTTCATTGAAAATCTAAATCGCTTTTTAAATTAAAATGTTTATCATAAATTTATGAGGGATGCATTATATACAAATAACTTTAAACAAAAAAAATAAATAACAAAATAGATAATTTAAGGACAAAAAATAATTACTTAGTATCAATCATGCAAAATCATTTATATTTTGTTACTGAAAGCGCTATATCATTAGTATACATCAAGATACATAATGAAATCCATTTATCTGATTATTATAAATATTATTCAGATTTATCACTTTGTTTCTTTCATATGATTTTTTCTTGATTTTTCGTATTTCTATGTTTTTTATAAATAAATTTTTTTAAAACCAATCTACAGTTTTACTGTCCTTAATGCAAAAACTTAAAACAAAAGTTCGCGATTTAAAATTCAACTGAATTATGGTTCATTTTTCTGCCAACGATTTCTTACCGAACTTTAAAGTGGTAATAATCATAAACTATGAAAAAATAGTGAAAATAATACGAACTCGCAAATGACGAATTGTAAATGTGTAATTATTTTACTTATATGAATGTACAACTGTGAATGTGTTTCTATATAAAAAAAATATATTATATGTACAATGTCCAACTTTATGGAATGTGTGTGTAAACTTATATAAAAGTTATTGAATATGTATACAACTGAATATATATTATTAAATAAGTATGTAATAGAGATAACATATGCTGAATTTTTGACTCAAAATTATTTGTTTTGAATCGAATTTTACAGAGGGCTGAGACAGACCATCAATTTTAACTAGAAATTGTTTGATTAATTTTTGTTAAATTAATTGAAATAATTCTAGATAATATTTAATGCAAATAGACAATTAATTAAAAGGTTTAGTAATGAATAAACAGTTCTATAGCAAAATTTAAACAAATTATATCTGACTGACTGAATGAATGAATAAAACTAACCTTATTGCACAAAATGGCAATTTTAAAAAAAGACGCATATCTCTGCCTTTATCTTCTTAATTAATTTTGAAAACTATAATTTCCATTTGATTAAATTTCATATATTTATTTAAATTATATGCAAATTTGGATAAATCAGTACGTTAAAAATATCAGCATTACTTTGACTATATCTAAGCTAATATAAGTATACAGGGAGAGATTGTTGCAAAAAGAGTCTAATTTTTTATTCCAAAAATCTGAATAGTTAATTTTCAATCATATATTTGTACAAGAATATACGAGAAAAATATTTACTGCAGGAATTATTTTGAAAAATATTATTTATTCTAAAAAAATTCAAATTTTCTGTATGTAAATATGTATTAGTCAATTTCGACTTTTCAATCTTCGTTATAATATGAACATAGATTTTTTATATTAATGATAGATTATTGTTATATTTTGATTCTCAAACGATTACGTACGTTTTTTAATATACTAAAACAATTCAAATGATGTTTATAATATATGTGAAAAAATATCTTTACAAAAATATGTATTCAGCAAATTATTAGTAATATTTTATAAGTAATCATATGAGGTGTAAAAGTTTAGTGTTTATTATATTTTTCATAAATTTATTAGGAAATATTTTTTTACTGTTAACAAAATAGTTTTCAACTAACATAAAAGTAATATTTGTTACTTTCCTATAAATGAGCTTTTAAGAAATGGTAAACCAATTGAATATTTAAATTTATATTTTTATTCATTTTTGCTTGAAAGGAAAAATTTAAGAATATTTTACTAGTTGAAGTACGTAAAAAGATTTTATTATCTATTATTTCCAAATTTATTTTAGGTATTTTTCGTGATTATTTAATAATTATAAATGCTCATTTACGCATTGAATTTTTATATAGGTACTCTCTTAAGCGCTAATATTTTATATCGAAACCTGTTCCGAAAGGTTAGTGATTTTACAATCTCCATATTCAATATAAATTAGGTAATTTTCTTTGGTAAAATTGATTAAAATTATAATATATCAACAAATTAGTTACAAATGTATTATGGAATGAATGCGAAAGTGTACAGCCTCTTTTGTATTATATTTCTAAATTGATTGAAAATACCATAAGTATGAAATTAAATGTGATTCAATTATTGTTAACATAAAATCTGTAAACATTTCTAAACCAATGTATATCAAAATGTTTTAATTAAAAAATCTTTATCTACATGTGAAAACTTTCATTTACGCAACAGGATTTCAATAAATGTTCTGTGTCATTGCTAAAATTCAATTATTCCTGTAATTTTTTAACTTTCTGCAGAAGTTTGTTTTCGCAAAAAAAATCCGGTTTTCTAATTTTATATTTTCTCAACGTTTCAAGTTGATGAAGAAATTTGGATTAAATTTAGAAAAATTACGTGTGTATTTGTTTGTAATAAGTTACTTTTCAGTTTTATTTCTAGAGAGTTTTATGAATTTCCTTTTTTAAGTTTTATAAATAAAAAGTTGAATAATAATACTTTTTATAGTGGTCAATGCTGGTTTTAGTACAACACACTTCCAAAGTGGTAGTTTATTGTCGGCCAAATGTTTAGGCCATTTTAGCAATTAATGATATTTTCAAATAGTTCATTGTATAATTTTATTTAATATTTGTCGCACGAATTTTTTTGTGCACGTTGTATTATATTTAAATTGCTCTTTTTAGCAGTACCCCAAAGTTGAATTCCTTAGGTCCACACGGATTTGATCACCACCTTTTATATAAGTAATTGGTTGTAAGTTGATAATTCTGTAATTTATATTTTTATTCATTATTGCTAGTAAAGGACGTAAATAGAATTTATTATAATCTATTATTTCCAAAACAAATTTGAAGGCAAGCAGATTTATTTTAGGTGTAGTGAGCGTCCCTTCTGAAAGCGCAGTAAAGTCAATCTGATACGCAGTAGCGCCAAATTAAGAAATGCAAATGTGATAAATTTAATTTTTAAGATTCTTATTATTACATAATAATAAAAATAACATATGTTATTTTTACAAAACTATTTTTATATTTATACTATTTACAGAAAAATATATACAGAATTTGCTGTAAAAATTTGCTAGATTATCAAAAATATTCTGTAACTACAAGCAGTTTGAGCAAGTTTGAGATTCACTGCTCTGCAGTTACGCCGCCTGTGTGACAGCCCTTTACATGTCAAGAAATATTCTATTTTAATTTCGATCTCTCTTTTGTTTAGATTTTGTTGATATTTAATGAACAATCCATCTTTTGTTCGTTTGAGCTAATATCAATTCCATCTACAACCACAAACAATAAATTCGTCGTTTCATTAGATGTCATAGCCGCCGGCGTATGACAATGTGTCAGATATTTTTCGATGACTAGCGAAACTTGCAAGTGTCAATGGCTTCTGTTGCCACAACTTCGTTCGAGCAATCAGTTTCAAAAGACAAAGAAAAAATGGCAGGCGAAGTGTTATTCGAACGTGCAAGAGAAATTGCATCTACAAATACAAAAGAGGGTATAAAAATTCTCAACACGATTGTGCAAGCACACGATAAAGAGGGAAACGAAGATGATATTCGACTCAAAGAAATGGGCATTTTGCAGTTGGGGGAACTATACAAAAAAGAAGGTAATGCAAAAGAATTGGCTGAGCTTATTAAGGCTACGAGACCCTTTCTTAGCCAAATAAGCAAAGCAAAAGCGGCCAAACTAGTGCGTTCTTTAGTGGATTTCTTTTTGGATTTGGAGGCTGGAACTGGCATTGAAGTACAACTATGTAAAGAATGTATTGATTGGGCGAAAGAGGAACGTAGAACTTTCCTACGTCAATCTTTAGAAGCCAGGCTAATTGCCTTGTATTTTGATACAGGAATGTTTTCAGAAGCTCTACAATTAGGGTCTACTCTATTAAAAGAACTTAAAAAACTCGATGACAAAAATCTGCTCGTCGAAGTGCAACTTCTTGAAAGCAAAACGTATCATGCATTAAGTAACTTACCTAAGGCGAGGGCTGCGTTGACATCAGCAAGAACGACAGCCAATGCCATTTACTGTCCGCCAAAGATGCAAGCCAGTTTGGATCTACAATCGGGTATTTTGCATGCAGCTGATGAACGAGATTTTAAAACCTCATATTCATATTTCTATGAAGCTTTTGAAGGTTTTGACAGTGTAGAAAATCCTAAAGCTCTTACTGCTCTTAAATATATGTTGTTAAGCAAGATTATGTTGAATTGTCCTGATGAAGTCAAGCAAATTGTTAGTGGAAAGTTAGCTTTAAAATATGCTGGACAAGATATTGAAGCTATGAAAGCTGTGGCCTGCGCTTCAAGTAAACGTTCATTAGCTGATTTTCAAAATGCTTTGCAAGATTTTAAACCACAGTTAGAACAAGATGTAATTGTACGAGCTCATCTTGGGACATTGTATGACACAATGTTGGAGCAAAATTTATGCCGAATCATTGAACCTTATTCTCGAGTTGAAGTATCATATATTTCACAATGCATAAATCTACCAAAATCTAGAGTTGAAAAAAAGTTGTCCCAAATGATATTAGATAAAAAATTTCATGGTATACTAGATCAAGGCGAAGGAGTTTTAATAGTTTTTGAAGAATCCACTGTTGACAAAACTTACGAAATGGCATTGGAAACTATTCAAAATATGGGAAAAGTAGTTGATACATTATATCAAAAAGCAAAAAAGTTATCATAGTTTTATTTAGCTGAAAATGTTTGCAATTTAAATATATTTTTACAATATTAGTTTCAAACCTTATACTAATTTTGGTCATAATAAACCTTCAAACAATATGTACTTTAATTTTTGTAAATTTTGCATTTTAACATATAATGTAGTTAATCAAATACTAAATAAAAAAAATCATTACTCCTTACTAATTATTCAAGTGTATGTTGTTAGAGAATAAATTATTTTTTATGTGAAACCATAATATATATTTTTTTCTAATAGCGTTTGAAACTCTTGACCACCAAATTATTTTTTTCAAGTTTAATCATTTACAATATAAATCAATTTAATTCTGCTTTGATTAACGATTAAATTTTACAGATTAATAACTTTTAAAAAAAGATAAATTTCAGGTTTTCTTCATAATTCCAGAAAGATTTAAATTCTGAAAAATATAGATATGACTAACACTTTATTTTCAGTGAATTGTTTCAGATAAATGAAAAAAAAATGAATCAGTAATTTTTAGTAAAATAAACAAGATTAGAAGTATATAAACCTTTTTATATCTAATAATAAATCTTGTTATTAAATTGACAATAATATTTATTGAAAAGATTAACTACTACAAAAGGTGACAATCTGAAACAATAAATTAAAATTGAAAGAAAGTCAGCATTAAAAAAAACTCTTAATCTTTTTTCGTTGATTTTATCCATGTTAAAATATGTATGCGTTAAAAAAATATTTATTTTTAAATGAATATTAATTTCTTTTGTATATGTCGGTCAAATCTTTTCATAACCTTGTTAGCATAATGTTTTTGCATTATTAGCATTATTATTTTTTCAATATAAGGAAGTATTATTCTCTTTTTTTTTCAATACAAGGAAAAAATGTTTTCCATGAAATATATGTATCATAAATTCATTTTATTAACTTTCCGTAGGGTAAGTTATAGTAATCGCAAAAAAATCGAAAATGAAAATTTTTATATATCTTTACGTTTTAAAGGTTTTTGAACATTTTGACATACCTTAAAAAAAATGGATGTATGTGTGTGTATATGTGTGTGTGTGTATGTGCAGATACAAATTTTCGTCGACGATTTCGGGAACACCGATCAACGGATTTGAATAATCGGATTTGAAGATTTGAAAAGCATTCGATTCGTATTAATAAGGAGACGTGCTAATTAGTTTTTGGCGAAGGCAGGTTTAGCCGTTCCGAAGTAACGGTAACTCAGTGTTTAGGAGAACGGAGCGTCCGATTTTAATAATTCAAAAAACATTTTACTCGTATTAACAAGATGAAGAACTGATTAAATTTTTGAGAAGGCAGCTCCAGCGGTTATGGACTCTCAATAAAAATAAGTTATAAAAATGTCATTTGGCGGTCAAAAATGTTTATTGGACATACGTACATCAAATTATCAGATATTTTATAGAAATTTTAATAATGTGTACACACATAGATAAAAGAAGAGTATTTTAATAATGTGTACACATTTTGTGTAAACTTTTTTGGGTTCTGTACCAAGATTTTTGATTACGGTACGGGAAGTTCAAGCAATTCGCCTTAAGGGATGCCATGCACCCCACTAACTTATTTTATTTTCCTTAGTATTTGATATAATAATTAAAGTTAAATATTAATTTTACAAAGATCCACAATTTACATAGTCAAGCGCTTTCGTTCTTGTCACATTCTTTCAGACATTTCGTTTTAAAAGCGTTTGAATACGAACTGTCAAAGTGGTGTTTTGTGATGTGTTTTTAAGTGAAATAATAGATAATTAAAAACAATTTAATTTATCCACAATGAGTGACGAAGATTGTGGAACTACCGAAGATGGAGAACAAAACAGCAATTTCAATTATATATTATCAACCTGGAAAATGTTCAATGACACAATGAAACCACTGTACCTCAACATAGAAAATTCTGAGCCTCTTCTAGAAAGTGTGATAAACTTTATTGAAGATTCAACTCAAGACTTTTGCCAATTCTTCATCGCACCTGTCGATACTCAAGTAAACAATCAAAACCAACAAAAAAAATTTGATTGTTTTACTACTTGGTTGTTAGGACATTTCTTCTATATACTAGGGTGTAATTCGCTCCAAAGGTAAATAAACGTAATTTATATAGTAGAAGTATGGATATAAAAATTAGCACTTTTGTTTTAGGTTACATGATAAGAGCGTTTCGGCACAGCTTAGAATTTTGAATATCTTGTATACAAAAGCACCTACCACATTTGAATTGATAGTAAAGGATTACTACAAATGTTTTATACAACTCGCACAAAACAATTCAAATTATCATTTCACTAAACAACACATTCGATATTTTGTACCTGATGAAAATTTAAGCAAATCAATTAATTTAGATTTAAGTCCGATTGACTTTAACGTTACTAAAGAAGAGACAAGTTATGATCTGCAAGGTCATCTCATAACAATAATGTCCACTGTGATGCCTTATCAAATTATGTATAATAAAAAAGATGAGTTGATCAAAAATATATATGCTCATTTAAATAAAACATTAGGTGATTGTGATATTAAACTAAAACTGTTAGTAATAAATCTTTATACAAGTTTGATAAAAGCGTCTGGTATTAAAAATTCAATAAACTAAGTCAGCCAAATCAAATATCAATATTAGTGAATTCTATTAATGTGATATTAAATATTACTTTTAGCACCTATACAAATTCAATTTGTACAAATATTTTAGATTTTAGTAATGTTGTACAACATTTCTTAGAAGCATTAGTCGAGTTAAATGAATTAGATAAAATTGCAGAAAAAAATCTAATTAATCTATGCATAAGCATATTTAAGTCAGATAATGTTGAATTGAAAGATTCACTTAAATCATTTGCATATGATTTTTGTAGTAAACTGTTAAGAGTAAGCACCGAATTTAATTATGAAGACATATTAAAAAGTAAAGAGCTACAAAATATTTCGATAGATTTGAATCTATTTTTACATCACACTGTTTTAGAAGAAATGAAAATGAATGTTTTCAATATCAATAGTGAAATTACAAATACAATAAATGTACTTTCCTTAAGTCCAACTTGGGCATCTCTTCATTTCAAGTTGTTAGAAAGCTTACAAAGTAAACACAATAACCGATCCAATTTATTAACTGCAAGCAACATATTAAATCATTCTATATGGATTGATATTGAATTTTCTATATGGCATCAAGATATTCATATAAATAAGACTCCATGTTTTTGTAAAAATAACATGGATATTTATAAAGATTTCAAAAACATAGATTTATTATTTTCTAAGGATGATTATAATCCTCTCATTAACGAATTTCTAAATTCAGTGGAAAGACTTGATTGCATAGATAGTCTTGATTTATTTAAAAGTGTGGTTGAGATAGCTCGAAATTTATTACTAATAACTTACAAAAGAAGGTTAACAGCAAATGCTTTTAATCATTTAATTGGAATATTATGCTCCTATAATATAAAATCAGTACCTGACATCAAAGCTCATTGTAAGCCATTTGTTTATAACTTGTTCGCAAAGGAATGGTTACAGGAAGACAGGCTGAATATTCAAATATTCATTTTAAAGGCACTTTCATATTTACCTCTTCAGGTTGATATGAAAATAAAAAACATTATTCAAAAAATTCTAAAATCTTGTTTATTTTGTGAACAACAAGAAATTAGAATTGAGGTATGATTTAGATATACTATATTAACATGCACAAATTGATGACTTCTTAATTTTAAATTATTTTAGGCTCTAAAATGTTTACCACATTTATACAGATACAAAATATTACCATCGAATGTAATCTTGGATTTACTTTCAAGACTAATATCAACTACTGACTATGAGGCATCAGTTGTAATTGACTATGTACTACCAAAATTATTATGTATTTGTTCTGGAAATTCCATTATTGTGATGAAGAATATGCACAAAAATAATTTTGAATTAGAACTGATTTGTTCTAAGTGTAAGACACATGAAGAATTTACGAGAGAGATCACGAATGGAAAAATATTTTACAATGAAAAATTTGATGTTGAACCACAAGTATTTGATGGTATTGTAGTAAACTATTTAAATCACTTTAAAAGCACTAATCCTAAAATACGAAAAGCATTATTGCATATCCTTACCCCTATATTTAATCATACTGATATTGGTTTTCAAAGTCCTAATCTTCATATTTGGATTGACTATTGTGGCTATACTGATGATGCAATCAGAATAGACTTTTGTGGAAAATTTAGGAATCTTGTAACAATTGTTTTGGTATGATATTTGTAATGAACTTTTTACATTTTCAAAAAAAATTATTAATGCTAACATATATTTGATTTCATGTTGTAGGCAAACGAAAAAATTACAAAAGACTCAAAAGAGCATATTATTATAACACTACTTACAAAAATGGGGAATATAGTAAAAATGAGCTTCTACAAGAATAATTTAGTTTTACAAAAATCAATATTAAATTTAATTCAAGAGCTGGGTTTAGCAGATTCTAAAGATTTACTACAACCATGTACACAACTTTTAATACAATTTTTGATGGGTCCTCAGACACCTTATGGAGCTTTAGCTATGTTATTTCTATCAAAAATTACAAGACATTACAATTTAACTGAGAATTTTATTTTTCACAAATACAAAAAGGAATTTTGTCAACAGATATCAGATCTTATTATATTTTACCATTGTAATAATTTTAGTCTGGGAGATATCACATTTAAAGTAAGTCATTTCAAGAACAAGGCATTGCATTTTTGCATATATTAACTAATTATATTTTATATTTTAAGGTAACTCGAGCTTTTGGTTTTAAAGGTCATCGGGACTTTTTCTCTAAAGAAATTCATCACATTCTTCCTTGTCTGATTCCTTGGTTTATTAAGGTAAATAAAATTTTATAACTAATGTTACTTACAGAGAAATAAAGTTTTATTAAGGTATAATTTATTTTTAAGGTACCTCAATCGCAACCACTTTTAACAGAAATTGCAAGGCTTGTGCAGAAGGGACCTTCCACCCTACTGTCGGAGTTATTTTTCAAAATTTATCCTATAATATATTTGAATGAATCATCAACTATGACTAGTAATATTATGAAATTTATTACAAAAATTACTCATTGTTCAGAAAGGGATTTGAAAAGAAAGGACTTTAGGGTATTATTTTATTGTATACTTACTTGTATGAACCCAGTTATATGCATTATTTATTTCAGATGATGATAAGTGAATTAATTGTTCATTATCATTCAAATAAGGAAGCTGTTATAGCTGCTTGTGAAAATTTAGCCAGTATTGATCCTGACTATTCAAAAGATGACGATTGTTTTGTAGTTGATGGACCTCTTTCACAAGTAATTGATTTTTTGCATCCAAGATTTTTGGGAGTTTTGGGTATATTTGGAAGTCAATTGGTCAATAGTCAAGTAGCAGATTCTGTTAAACGTAAAGTATTGGAGAGTTTAACGGATTTGATTGAACTAATGGGAGATAAATACATTACACCTTTGCGTTTTAAGGTAATGGCTACACTTAGATCAGCATTATCTTTGAATGTTAAAGAATATGGTCCGCTGCATATAAATGCTTGGAATGCATTCATTCGCACTGTGAATATTCAATCTTTAGGATCATTGCTTAGTACAATATTTGTTTCTTTAACACCCTTATTAGATCATTATTATACTGAAGTAAATAACTTGTTTAGTTTCTTGGTTATAAATCATGAAAGTCTTTTAAGTTCTTTTATGCCAGACCTATTTTTTATATCTGAACTAAATATTGATGAAAATATTAAAATGATAGTCCATTCGCACATTCAACAAGTTAAATCGGATAGTATGATTGAAAATTTAAAACTATTGTTAAAGCAAGTGAAACATGAAGATATAGAAGTGCGGCAATATGCACTTCAGTATGTCACCAAACTGTTATCAGATAATAAACAAGAACTTAATGATGCAATTCTTAGTAGTGATATGATGAATCCAGTAATCGTTGAATTGATAGATGCACTTGTAACCGGAACTAGAGAAAGTGAGACTTTAAAGTTGGATTACGCAAGGTGTTTAGGAGAGTTGGGTGCAATTGAACCAAGTCACTTACCCCGAAGATTTGAGGATACCTCTGTCTTTACATTTAGTGCAACAGATGACACATTTGCTATATCTGCTCTTATGGAACTATCAAGAGCCTTGCAGTTTGAAAAGCATACCAAGTTTATGGATAACTTTGCTGTGGCTATCCAAGAAATTTTGAAGTTTTATAAAATATCTCCAACTGAGAAAAAAGCAATTTGGGAATCTTTACCAGAAAGCATGCAAGAAGTTATGCTTATATTACTTTCATCTCGTTATGTTGTTCAACCTAGTATGTCACCTGATCGGATACATCCCATATTCGGGTCGAGTGGTGCATCCACATTTAGTAAATGGGCATTTATTTGGGTTAGTGCTTTGATTCCTCAAATAGCAAACAAAGATATTAGTGTTTTATTCAGTTCCTGCAAACCAAGTTTAAACAGAGATTTAAGGACATTGATACTATTCCTACCATATATAATTCTTCATGTTTTATTTGGAAATAATGATGAAGTCAATACCCAAATTTTTGAAGAAATGCAGACAATAATCAACATAAAACCTCATTCTTACAAAACTATTCAAAACAATAAGCAAGATAAAAAATATTTGCCAACTATTGCACTGGATCCAATAAAAAAAGCTAAACCTATAGAAGAAGATACACATATAAAATGTTGTAAAACAATATATGTGCTCATTGATTTCTTAGAAAGATGGGTTCGAGAATGGGTTCATGTAAATTGTCCCAGAGTGAAGAATCCTTTAGACAATCTTCATTATAAAGCAATATATAATTTTGTGAATAAATTCGATAAAAGTGTTTTGTCCAAAGGAAATTTTGAATGTGAGGAATATTCAAGGGCCCTTCTATATTTGGAATGGTATTTAGAAGAAAATGAAGAAAAAATCAGTTCATATTTGTCAGATCTAGCAAATATTTATGCAAAATTAGATGAAGGCGATGCTGTTGCTGGTATACTTTCTATAATGGAACATGAACCATCTCTACAAGATCAAATATTATTCCATGAGGTTACAGGCCAATTGCAAGATGCAGCTGCTTGTTATGAAATAAAAGCACAAGAAATTAGTTTGGATCGTGATTTAATGCTAGGAATGATTCGATGTTATCTGGGATTAGATCAACCTTATATGGCATATAAGTTGGCTCACAGCGTTTCTATGATAGAAGATGAAATTGGATGTTCCATTACTGAAAGTTTAGCTGAACCTTTATGGAGATTAGGAAAATGGGATGATTTGTCTGAACTTTTGGTTAGAGAAGAAGTCAAGGAAAGTCCAGAATGGGGAGTACGGTTTGGTCATGCTTTACTTTCCTTTAAAAATAGACAGAGAAATGATTTTAAAATGGAATTGGATACAATGAGAACTAACTTAATGTGTAATTTAACTAATGTTACAATGGAAAATGGAGCTTATCAACAAGCATATCCACATATTATTAAATTGCATATACTAAATGAGTTTGAAAGTGTTGACAGCTTAGTTCATATGTAAGCATGTACATATATTTTTACAACTAGGGTTTATAATTTCATGTATATCACACACAATTATTTAAATCGCTCATGTTTCAGGGTAACAAATTGTAAAAGTAATGTTGAAATTTTAAAAGCTGTCCATAATCTTCTGAGTAATTGGGCTGTTAGATTGAACATTTTGGAGTCGACTGGTACTACTGTCGAACCTGTGTTATGTGCAAGAAGAATATTTTTGGAACAAGCTAAAGTAAATTATTGAAATAGAATTTTTATATTATTTCTTTCTATGAAAATTTACAGTTATTGCTTAATAATTAAGTATATTTGTATATATTTATTTATTTGCATGTATTTATTCATTCAATATATTAATAGGTGATAATGTCTGATCGAGAATGTATTGTAAATAATGTATTAGATGAATTTATTGCAAAATCTTGGATAAATAGTGTAAGATTAGCACGAAAAGCTGGATTATACCAACAGGTAGTAATAGACTTATAGTAAAAATAAGATTTTTTGAACTAAACCATTTATTATTATTTATTTTTTGGATCATTTAAGGCATATACATATATTTTAAATGCTGAAATGTATAAACCAAAAGAACTTTTTGTGGAAAAAGCTAAGTTGCTTTGGCAGAAAGGTGAGCAATCCTCGGCGATTCGTGCTCTTGTAAGAGGAGTTGATGAACAATTCCCAGACTTAAATAAATTTAAGACAGCATCAAGTGGAGAAATAATAGCTGACAGGTTAGTTCTTAAAATAAATATCTAAATCCAACTTATTTGAGAACATATTATAAGATTTGCTTTAATATTAAACAGATTCATTAGTTAAAATTAGATTTAGTTGTACGAAACACAGTGTTTTCATTATTCAATTAAACCATAATGTTAAGGCGCGAAGCTTAAATTTTACTTCGACGTCTAACAGGGTGTTGTCGATTTAATTATCTAAACACTTCACTTTTAAATTTGTTCTATTGTATAGTAGAACTCTTGGTGTGATCTGTGATTATTCAAATAAAATGCGACGTTTAATACTAATAGATTTATTATAAAAAGAATATGGTGAATATAATGGCAACAGATAGTTGATGTTTCTATACTGCGCTCTAAACTTATACTAAATAAAAATTATTAAAAATTGAAATTAACA